AGCCCTGAACGGGGCTCTTTGTTCAGCTTTTTTTTATTTTCCCTCCCCTCCCCTCATCAACTTTTGCTCGCAGCTGATGGGCTCCCTGCCCCCTGCCGCTCCCCTCCCAGCTGTAGCCTCCAAATAGCCCCTGAGCGGCTCACCAAGCCCCTGGCGATGTTGCAGAGATCCTCGAGCTGAGGGAGAACGGGGCTTCAAAAGCGCAGGAAGGAATAGTTGCCCCACAGATCTGTAAAGCAGAAATAGGACAGCTGGGGGGTTTCCAGCTGCCAGGGAAAACCTGTGTTTGGAAGAGGCGGAGCACAGGGATTTTTTAGTTTACCATGCAGCAATCCCTCTGGTTTTCACTGCCTTACATAAAGTGTTTACTGAGCAAGAGGAGGGAACAGCCAACAACATGTTTTTGCATTTGTAGTACTGTACAGGCTGAACTTTTCACTTCCTCTCAATGGCTCTCACACATGTGTCTATTTTGGTGCTGGCCATGCATACAAACAAGCCATGTACTGCATGGAGCCAGGACGTTCCCTGCTCCTGCTCTCTTCAGCCATGAACCCAGCACACCACAAAGAAACAGCTGGAAAACAAGGAATGGGTGGAGGACAAGGGGGGCTGCCCCAGGGAAATCTCGGCCCCCCATTTCAGAACCTTTGGCACGCACTGGGCTTGCAGAGAGATGTGGGCAATGCTTGGGCACTGCATCCTGCCAGCAGAGCCACAGGCACCAATCCCCCAGTGTCCCTGGAGGGCTGTCGGAGTGGAAAAGTTTCAGGTGGAGCAGTAAAAAGGAAATGCTCTTTCTGCATCTGATTACGCCGGCTGCAGCACGTAGGGTCGGCAAGCGGGGGGGGGGGGCGGGGGGGGGCACGGGGAGGGGGGGGAGGGGGGGGGACTCGAGTGCAAGGGGCTCAGGGCACTGCTGTGCCAGCAGCAGCAGAAGGCACGCAGCTCCGTTCCCAAACCCCACAGCCTTGTCTTGATACAGAGGATATTTCTGGCGAGTTTGGCCTAGGTAAGTTAGATGTCTGGAGTAAGAAGGATTAAAAACAGATGATTTAAAACAAAATGGTTGATGATTGAAATACTCCCTTCTTTTCAAAATTGCCCCTCGGGGATGGAGGTTTAGTACCGAATGCCATCATTTTTAAAGCAATACTGACTGAGGACCCGCTTACTTTGCAGGAGGCCCCACAGTGCAGGGGCTGGCGGCCCGCCAGCACCAGGAGGAGGTTTTCCGGGCTGGGACACGTCTCAGCTGAGCTGTAGCCATACGTGAGAACGCCCAAACGCCCTTTCAGAAACTGTACAGTGGCTTTCCATGGGGTGCAGAGCTGGAACTGGGGCTTTGTCTGCAGACTGGGGCTGGCTTTTGGTTGGCATGTGGCTCTGGATCACAAAAAGCTGACTCTGATACCAGAGCTAATTTAGAAACAAATGCAGAACATCCCGGTATACTTCCCCCCACTAAATTTTAGCTAACAGAAACTGCTGGTCATATAACTATGATGGAGATGGATTCAGGTGAATCTGTTTCAATCCAGATGTGGCTGGACTGAAATAGTGTGTAAAAATAAAATCATCCTGTAAGTAAGATGTTGAAAATGGAACAGTTTGGCATCTGGAGCAATAAATGGTGTAACTGCTTAAGTACAGTGCTGAGCCTATCTCCCTACTGGCTAGAAGAAAACGTGGTGTTGAGGCTCTAATCAATGGAAAAATGAACATGTTGAAATGGTTCTGCCAGAAAATAGAAATCCCTTCAAGAACAGCAGTGAAGTACAAATGAAAAACAAGATGATTAAAATGGATGGATTTAAATAAGGGGTTTCTGCTGGCAGAGCTAAATGAGGATTAAAATCTGATTTAAATCAATCCACTTTCAAGCGTAAAGCAAGTGTGGTTTGGTTCCTCTCAGAGGGTTTCTTTTAAATTGAACTTAAGCTGACCGTTGTAACAGCCAAGCTGCTTCTGAGCTTCATTAAACGTCCTGCTACCTATAAAACAGCTGACTGTTTCTTTCATCAGACCCCCCTGCACAAGCTTTAAAAACATGAACGGTTTCAAAGACAGAATTATTTTATTATTGCAGAGCAATCTAATACATAACAGAGAAAAAAGAGTTTCAGGGTATTAAAGATACAGCTTCTGCATTAGAGAGCAGTGTCCTACCAGCACTTGCTGTGCAGACACAAGGGAAACAACAACAGAGAGAAAACAGCTTCGGTGATACATGAGGTGCCGCTGCAGAAAGCGTCACCGCTTGCCCCCTCTCAACTGACCTGGGACAGTTCCTGTTCTGTTCATCCCCCAGAACAATGGCTAGGGCTATAGTGTTTTTGGCTCTACAGAGGGCCAGCTTGAGCAGCAAGGACATGGCCTTCCCAGTCCACTGATCACCCGGTGCTTTGGCCACGCACAGGGAAAGGCCAGGCCAAGTTTCAGGGTTGCTTTCCCCACCACCACCCACTGTAAGTCTTCCCTTCTCTGTGAGCAATAAGGTGATTCTCCAAGCTCTGTAAAACTGATACTACCTTCTAAGTTACGGAAACTGAGCCCTGCCAGCCTGTAACACCGCAGAGGACTTGGAGAATCCCATCATTTCCATTTACTGGCAGCTTTAGGGGGGATCCCCATTCTCAACTTAAAAAAAAAAAACACAACAAAAGCCCAGTCCTGCCGATGCAGCTGTCAGCATCTTGATAAATGGGGGGTGTTTTGAAGCCACGCCAGAGAATGCTTTTCTTCTGCTCCCTGACAGCAGCAATCCAAGACACGCTCAGCCCGAGGAGGGAGTGAATCCCAGGAGCTGCTCTATTGGCTTTTTTCTCCACTCCTCTTCCTATGGGTTGGTCCCTCCACTCATCTGCCTCCAGCTCCTCCACCAAACCGGCTAGTTTTTCCATCCGTGCGACTTGTTGATCTGCGAGAAGTTCAAAGGTAACTGTGGTTTGCAATGACAGCGCAATTAAACCTTTCAATTAGATGCAAATTCCCAGCTGTCAATGGGGAGCAGAGCAGAATAAAACCCACCGAGCCAATTTGAATACAAACCCACTCTACATGACACCCTGTGCAAACAGTGAGACCTCAGGAGAAAGTAGGGACAGGCTTTTCTGCCTTGTCCGGTGCTCAGTGTGTATTTACCCATCCCTGCCCATGCCATCTAAATTCAAGTCCTAACAGGGAAGCACGAGGCCGATTAGTGTATGGGGGTGAGAACAGGATGAAGCTCATTTCTTTAGCATAAATATTTATAGTGCAAAAGAACAGAGAAGTTCAGAGAGAGCTTGGTCAGCCCACGGTAGGGCTGGATGCAGCACAAGGAACTCCTCGTTTCAATGAAGGCGTTTTGAGGAGGCCCTGGATGACTCCAGCAGAAAGGCTCTGCAATTAGAGTCTGCTAATGACACAAAGGTCCCCATGGAGAGACAGGCTTGCCTCCCTGGGGATCCCCAAGACAACTTCTTCCTCTCAGCTTTATTTAAAACCAGTTGTGTGTTGGGTATGCAGGCTCAATTTTCAGTCAAATTGCCTGCCATGGTAGGGACATGAGAACAGCCCCTTCTTTTCTTGGCTCTGCTCTAAGTTTAACAGCACAGCGGCCTCTTGGAAGAATGGCCCAGCACAGCTGACTTGCTAGCAAGAGGCGTAACATGAAATGCGCATGATTTATGCTGACTGCAGCAGTGGGTGCTTTTAAGAGGGACTGTTCTCACTCCACCTCCTGCAGCCGAGTGCTTTTGGTAACTGTCAAACAAACAAGCCAAAAAATGATGACCTAAACCTTTTTTTAAGCCTTTCCCCATTCTTAAGGGGAGGCAACTGGTGCTCCACAAATGAGTTTCAAAGGCTGCTGCTTATCAGGGTGCCAGTCTGTGCAGCAGCCCCTGGTAGCTACAGCCACAGTAGCACCAGGGCTGTGAAAACAATGGCTGTGAAACTTGGCTTTGCTTTTCAGTTCAGAAATACAGGAGCACAGCCTTACAAGTCTGCTGTGCATCCCCAGGTTGTCCTCCTGACAACCCTTGCTGATGTAGGACAGGAAACCTCACTGGTCTGAGACAACACATGGAAGTACGCATTCTAGCTGACATGAGGTGGGGACCAGAAAGGATGTGACCCTCAAGCAGCAGACATGATCTGGTGCTGAGCTCTGCCCAGTGACTTAAGAATGAAAGTTGCCGTGCAGTCAAGCCCATCATTCGGTTACAGGCAGCTGGGCAAAGGCCCCAGGAGGGAAGCAGTTCAAACAAGACATAAGGCTCTTCCTTGGGGAGGTAAGGAGTGGAGTCAGCCCCATCACGCCACACCAGGCATCTGCGTGTCTGTCTCCTGAGCACCTTTGGAAACCTGGCTTGACCCTGCTGGTGTCACAAGGGCTTGGGCTCAGCAGAGAAACAAAGGTGGAATCAAGTGTCTGTGTGCCCGGGGCCATAGAGACTGTCAGCGCTGGGCCAAGATCAGAGTGTGGGCGTTTCCTGCCCATAACCTCCCCTGCCGGCCTCACCTCTCGCGAAGGCAGTGCGGCACACGGCAATGGAAAAACAAGCTTCGAAAGGCACAGCCTGTTCCCACCCAGGCTCTGTGGGTTCTCCTCGCTTTGCATAGGCCTTGCAAAGGACTTGATGATGGCCTGACTTCGCCTTAATTTGCCAACTTAAAAGGCTATTCTGCTTTTTTGTGGTCGGCACCTGAGAACATGTCAGCCTTTTCTCTGTGCTCCCCTGCCATCTTTCCTGATCAACATGCAGTTAAAATAGACGGCACTTCGGTGCTTACCGTGTTTCACTTGCTTTAATGTAGATGCAACCTGATAGCTGAAGACAGATTCACAGAGGAATCTTTCAGAGCCATCTGTAAACAGAAAAAGGGAGGTGATTTAATCTGAGAGTTTTAAGACTGAGCAGCCTTAAATGAGTGCCACCAAGCTTCTATTTTTATGTCCAAGCTGTGGGTTTCCCTACTTGCCTTGTTCCGACACTTTCCCCTGTGCTGAGCATGCAGTGCTCCAGTTTTAGCCCTTGTGACCCTGTGCTCAAATTCTGTGCACGGTTTTGGCTGGCTCCCAGTGCCACTGGGGAACGGCTGTGCCACCTGGGAGACATCTTGGCTGATATTCTGTTACATCCCCTCTGTCAAGCAATTTCAGCCCATTTTAAATAGAAGGTAAGCTAAGGAGAAGCCAGCTAATACTATGGCAGTCTCTGATTCCCTCAAGGCTCAGACGCTTCTGTCCTTGTAATGCTTTATGATTTCCCACAGGCTTAGACCATAACCCCGCATAAATGATTTCAAATAATGTGTATCTCTTGTCGTCTAAGTCAGTAATTGATCACACAAATGTCTCAGAAATAAAGCAATCTGGAATACATAGCTAATTGTCTGCCACGTCCTGACATAGCTTATACTCCTTCCTTCTAAAAAACATCCCAAAATACCTAAGGGTTTATGTAAAAATAAGCAAGATAGTTAAAGTAACAATAAAAATCAGTCAGTCAGTGAGGACTTTGAACAAGAAACTGATATGCAGCTACCCCTTTAGTATCCACCTGATGAAAGAACGTGTGTATCACCTACTATCTCAGACATTAAAAATAACCTAAAGCTTCTTGTGACGGAGAGACTGTTTAAGTTGCTGATGCCAGCCAGAGCAGACAAACTGCCATGTTACTGATAAAGAGGTCAACCCAAAGCAAAATCAATTAAAAGCTCCATGCCACAAAAATGAGGGGAGAAGCGATTTCAAAGACCAAGGGCAGAAACAGACCTTTGGCCCTGAAAAATCTAAAGCCCAGGTATGAGGGATGAGTTGGGATTTTGTTGTGCTCAGAGCATCCTCTTGCAAGCTGTTGAAATGCTGTGTTAGCGCTGCCCTGTGCTATTTCCAAACATACACTTCCCTCTTCTCTGACTCCCCAGCCCGGCTGTCCTGCTGAGTAGCTCTCTAGCTGCCTGTCTATTTGGTAATGCAAAGTGTTTCATTATTTTGTTTTGAGGGCTCGTTAAGTTCTGTGAGCAAGCCTTCAGTCATAATTACTTCAATAGACTGGCATATGGCCTCTAACGTGTAATAAAAACAGTCCTTCAATGATGTTAGCGATCAGTTCTCAGCTGCCTGCACTGCCGTGTCACTTCTGAGCTGCAGGGCCACCTGAGCCCCAGTCCCAGCCACCCCAGTGAACCTCAGGCTCACACAGTCAAGTGTGCGGCATGGTGATACGGGAAGTTCAAGGGAAGCTGGCAGACAGACAGGCAGACAGACCCTGGCTTAACCCTGTCATCTGGAGGACCTGCCCTTCCTCCCTCACCCAGAGCAGGAGCAGGGTCAGGGACATGCAGCTGCGACATGTCTGGGTCCTCTTTCAGGCAGCCCTGTTGAAGAGGGTGGCAGGCTCGCGCACCCAAATGCCAGATGCTGTGCTGGATCAGAGCCCTAGCCCTCTCCAGGCGGCCCTGCAGAAACACTCTGGCAAAATCGAGCCTGAAAGGGGAACGTGCTCAGCCCTGAAGGATTAAAAGAGAGGTCTAGTCCTGATTTATCCTGTTGCAGATGTCTGTGGCAAGGTTTTATTCAGGTCGAGGGCAAAAACAAGCCCTGTGTTTCCTGGCCAGCAGGGATACAAGCTGCCTTCTGTACTAGCCCAGTCAAATCCAACATGAGAATGCATTTTGCCAAGAAAAATACTCCTACCTCAGCAATCTTTACAGTAATTCCTGGCCAACATCAAAAGGTTAGCTAACAATGAGTAATTAACACCATCATGTTCCCTTTCAGGTAGATTGCTTCCTCATCTGAAGTGTCATGGAGCTAAAAAACAGGCAACTGCCAGAAAAATCACTTCCTCATGAACAACTGGTGGGAGAGCCAGGGTTGTTCGGGACCTACCCGAAGCCTGGTGCTTCCTTCCTCCCTCCCTCCAGCTTTTGCCAGCTAAAGTCTGTAAAGGCAGCAGGGTGCCAAGTTCAGCAACTCCTTTGCAGGGCTGCCTGCACACCAGGAGCAGCAGGGAAGGAGAAGGGCAGGAGCAATCACCTTCCAGCATCTCTCCGGCTCCTTTGGGGTAAGTGAAGAGGGCTTTTCGGGGCGGTGCCAGGTCTGAAACACTGAACCCTGATCCTGTTACAGAGCTGCCGCTGACTCCGCCAGCTGAGGAGGATGAGGAAGAGGCTGCCATTTCACCCCGTCCCAGCCTGGAAGAACAAAAAGGGAGCAAAGCCAAGTTAGGAAGGGCGTCTCGGAGTTTCCCAGGGCACAAAGCCAGCAACCACGCATGTATCTGACGGCAGATGAAGGCAGTGAGGTCCAGGAAGAGGCAGTGAGCACAGCTCTGGGCTGTCACCCCCCTCTGCGGCTCGGCAGCTTCAAAGCGCTGATGGTTCCAGGCTGCCCTGCATGCGTAGGAGAGGCCGCCTGCGCCTGCTACATGCACGCGCTGCATGCACCCACTGCAGGCACAGCTGCAGTTAGCTGTCATACCATGCGGTGGCACCCAGAAACCGAAGGTAACCCATGCTCTGACCCCCCTCGGACAAGGGGACCTGGGAACTCAGTGGGACAATCAGAGCATGCATAAAAATAACCTGGTACAGGTTGCTGGCCTGAATTCACCGGCCTTCAGCTGTCTTGTGCTCTTCCTGCTCCCCAGGGGCCATAAAAACCATTTTTTTTTTTATTTTTTTTTCTTTCCTTTTTTGCCTTGTTTCCAGGAGCACAACCAGAAAAAGTGCTGCTGCCTCAAAAACCTGGGAGCCGTCAGGACTGCCAGTTCCAGTGCTGCATCCTGCACGAAGCCACACTGTGCCTCATTCGCAGCAACTGCTCTGAGTCACTCCAGATGTGCTTTTGCTTTAGGAACACTGCATCTGGCCTAAACCAGCAATAGCTGAACATCCGCCTGCCTGGCAGCACAAGCCTGGTCACCTCTCACATACCCTTTTCTCAGCCTTGTTTTTAAGAGGAATTGGCTGTACAGTTTGCCATGATGGCATACTTAAAACTTGTCACATACCTCTCCAATAGTAAAAAAGCTGTCACTTGGCACTTGAAAGAAACAGCACTTGCTACTATGCCAAATCACTTATGAGCACTTCCCAATTATCCTGCCCATTTAATACGTTTCTGTTATCCTGCTTAGTTAATACACTTCTACAGACTCTTTAAGCTATGCAGACAGTGCCTCTGAAAAGCACTCAAGGATTTAGTGGAGAAAAAGGGGTTTAAAAGGTTTTCACAGCCAGGGATTGTATGTTCATTCACACCTAAGCTCAAGCTTGTTTACTGTAATACAAAACAGCACAGCAGCTTGCATGAGGATGGGGGCTTAGAGGCTGTGAAAAACAATGCCTGAATAAAAGAAACCTTCCGTATAGTTATGATACGTCAAGAAATACCTTCCTCAACAACGCTGAGGCTGCCCTGCTCCCCACTTGTGAGGGAAGCAAGGTGACAGTTTGTGCTGAAATGATGCTGACCGGGCTTGCAAACACGGCTGACTCCTCGATATAGGTTCTGGATTTCTATTTTAAATACACTGAGGCAAATACAGAGGAGGAGGGCGCCAGGACAGGACAACACCTCCACCCTCAACGCCTCAGCCGCCGCCCATCTTCGACGGAGACAGCAGTCGAAAGGTTAAGCGGAGC